GTTGTCATCTTTACCACAGGTGAAAAAGTCTCACTATAATCTATCCATTCTCTTTGAATAACCCCCCTTACCACTAACCTTGCCTTTAGTCTTTCAACTCTCCCATCTGATAAATGCTTTACCTTATACGCCCATTTACAAGGCAAAGCTCTTTTTCCTTTAGGTAACTCAACCACAACCCATGTGTGATTATCCTGCAGAGCTTTAATTTCTTATCCATAGATTCTATCCACCCTTGATATTTACAAGCCTTCCGAAAGGTATAAGGTTCAGCTAGTATAGAAAGGGATTGCATTACATGCTGATTATTAGGTGAGAGAGATGAGAAACAATATTCCTTAGGCCTGGAGGGTTGAGCAAAACAAGTTGTGTCCACATCTATGAACATGATGCTACTACACATAGTCTTTTAAATATAGTGGTTGACTAGAAACCCTTCCTGATCTTCTTAATGGCATAGGATCCTCAGGTATAGGAAAAGGTGAGGTTGTGTGTGGTGATTGATGGATAGGTAAAACTGAAATTTGACTAGGACGAGTCTGATGGTGATGGGGAATATATGAAGGGCTTGATGTTGAAGGAATATCTGTTGCTTCAGATTATGAAAGAGTGGACAGTGTTGGATCTGGTGTTTGTGATTGAATATCTAGGATCAGTGGTGAAGGTTGAAGTTGGAAAAATAGAGTGGTGTGGTGTGTTGATTTCAGCAAAAGGGAAATCTGATTCATGAAACTTTACATCCCTGGATACAAAAACTTTCTTTACAGACAGTTCAAGTAATTTGTATCCTTTCTGTTGAAGAGGGTAACCAAGGAGAACACGAGTTGTTGCCCTATCATCAAACTTTCCTCTTCCTTGTGCTAGTGTAGGAGCATAACACAGGCACCCAAAGTTCCTCAAGTAGCCATACTTGGGTTTTTGTTGAAATAAGATCTCATATGGTGTCTTTCCTTTAAGTACAATAGAGGGTAATCTATTAAGAAGTTGTGTGGCAGTCAGAATTGATTCACCCCAATATGACATGGGCGGCCTTGATTGAACATTAAACCTCTAGCTATTTCTAAGAGATGTCTATGCTTCCTTTCAACAATCCCATTTTGTTGAGGAGTTGCCACACAAGATAGCTGGTGTAAGATTCCTTCTGAAGCTAGAAAAGTTGCCTCTTGTATTCCTTTTCCTAGTTCTAGTGCATTGTCAGATCTTATCACTCTCACCTTTACATTGAACTGCCTTTCAACCATAGACAAAAATGATTTAAGCATAGGAAAAGCATTGCTCTTAGCACACAACAAGAAAGTCCATGTTCCTCTACTATAGTCATCTACTATAGTGAGAAAGTATCTGAATCCATTACATGTATTAGACTTATAAGGCCCCTATATGTCCACATGTATGAGATCAAAAATCTGTTTGGACTTAATACTGCTGATAGGAAAATGATTCCTTGTTTGTTTAGCCTTAGGACAAACATCACAAATAAAATCAGAATGTGAATCACAATGAAGGAAATCTAAATGTCTCATTGCTGAAAATGGGAGATGTCCCAACCTTACATGCCAAAGCTTAACATCAGGAATAGCAGTAACATGAACAGGAATAGAAAATTGACTCACACTCTAAATTGGAATTTCTTCCTTTTTGAATTGAAAATACGTTAGTATTGAACAGACCCTTAGACTTAAGGATACTAGGCTCCAAAATGTAAAGTCCTTCTCTAACTTCACCAAAAGCTTGTGACTCTTCATTGAAAGGCCCTGCAACACATACCCAATATTTGTGAATAAGACATCATACTTGAACTGTACACAAAACCTATGAACCGACAAGAGGTTGTATTTGGAATCTGGAACATGTAAAATATTGTTCAAGACATGTCTTGGCAGAATAGACACACTTCCTATATGGGTAACAATTACCTTGAAAGAATTAGGTAAACTGATGTTCAAAGGCACAGGAAGTTGAGTTAGAAACCAAAAGGAATTAGGGTCAAAACACATATGCTCTGAAGCACCTGAATCAATGATCCATGTTTATGAATTCAAAGCTGTAAATGTTGAACCTGAGTATTTTAGAATAGTACCAGCAACTGCATTAGCATTGATTCCTGAGTTTCCTGCTTGTCCCTGTTTTGCCTATTTATACATGTTCATCATTTCTACAACTTGCTCCTTGCTGAGTTGCTGTCCAAAATTCATGTTGTTGTTTTCAACATTTTGTCCTGTTGCATTCTCATGATCTTCATGTGTCAAAAATGCATTTCCCTTGATCTGATTTTGATAACCTTTCTGATTGGTGAACTCAAAATCATCTGGGAACCCAATGATTCTATAGCAGTCTTCCTGTGTATGCCCTATCTTTCCACAGTAAGTACAAGTCGCATTTGGATTATATTTCTTCCTTCCCTTAAATTTCTGTTGAGGCTTGTTGAACTTCTGTCCAGAATTGTTATATTTAGGTGCCATTACAGCTCCTCTTTGTACTTGATTCCTGCTATTCTGAAAATTTCCCCTCTGTCCTGTTGCCATGAAGGCTGCAAATTCAGCCAAAATTTGAGCATTAGGCTGTTTAGTTTCTCCAGCTACCATGAATGAAAGTGAATCAGAGTTGAAAGTTCCATTTGCATAAACTTCTCTTTGATTTTCATCTTGCAAGAGAAGTGAATAGGCAACATCTATGCTAGGCAAATGGTTCATGATGAGTATGTTTCCTCTTGCTTGTGCATAGATGTCATTCAGTCCGAGTTGAATCATCCTCTGATCATCAAGAGACTTCGTTAGTTTTGCTTTTACTTCAAAAACACAAACACATGAACAACATATGATAACATTTAGAGCATCCAATTCATCCCATAGTCGTTTGAGTTTAGCGAAATATCCTGCAATGTCACTATTGCCCTGAACTAATCCTAATAACTCTTTTTGCAGGTGATAGAGCTTTGCTCCATTTGATCTTCCAAATCTCTGCTCTAAACTATGCCAAAGTTCCTTTGCAGTTTTGGAATATATCACACTGTCTCCAATGTCCTTATAGACTACATTCAAGATCCAAGATATGACCATATTATTGACACAGCTCCATTGCTCATGATCTGGAGATGTCAGACCTGGAGATTGACATGCTCCATTGATGAAACCAAGCTTCTTCTTGGCTGATAATGGTAACAAGATAGAACTCCTCCATCCTGGGTATCCTCTCCCATCAAACACTGTATTGACCAGTGTCATCCTAGGAGAATCAGAGTTATTAAGGTGGTAAGGATGATTGACATCATAGCTTACTGCCTTTGCAGTGTTGCTGGTATCTCCAGTGATGGTGGTGTCACCCATCTTAGTTTACTGAAGATTGAATTTGATGTATATGAGCTTAGATGATTGAATTGTTGGATCGAGCTGGTTGATCTGATACCATTTGCGAAATATTGAAGAATGATTTGTGAAATTTTTTTGTGTATTTCATCACTGTACTGTACATGTATATATACAACAAAAAATCTGCATAATAAAGAATGAACAAGAAAGAGAAAACTGTACACTTGTCCTACTCTAATTTGCCTATTGATAACAAAATTATTCTTCTACTAACTAACTATAATCCCTCACATGTTAGTCACATGAGGGAACTTCTAGAATCAGAAATATCAGATGGCTCAGATTTAATCCATCATGAATTAAATCAATTTCATCTAATGATTCTCCTTCTTCCACGTGTCCCAAGTCATGTTACTGAACATAACCCATTACACATAGGCTATATCGAACATAAGACTTTTGGTCTGAAACTTGGTCTTCTCTTTAGATTTAGGTCTTCGTATTCTTCTTCATTTTCTCTTCATCAGTTGTTGTCAAAACTCCATGAGAGGTAGAGTTATGAGGTTTCTTCTTCCCAACAACATATGAGGATCTCATTCGTGTTGGGTTATCTTTGTCTCATCTACTATTTGAAAGTTATTTATTGTCATTCATTGCCCTCTTCTACTTCTTCAAGCCTTTAGTTTTTAACCCCTTGTAAAATCTTCCTTTTACTCTCTCTCACTCTCTACATGCTTTTATGTATGGTGTTTATTTTCTTCTCATATTTTGATTCGCTGCAACTTCGATTTCTTCTTGGATAGAGAATTAGTTATCCACTGTCTCAAACTATGAAGGAGATTTGAAAGTACCAAACTAAGATATCAAAAAGCAACAAATGAAGACAAGTTTTCCCGAGTCTAGACAAAGAAATCTTATTACTCCAATTTGCGATTAATATTCTTCTTAGCAAACATTTGATAATTAAGTATTTTCCAGAAAAACTTAACACATTCATTTTGGTGCAAATATCGAGTGCATTTTCTAGTATAAAGCATTATCACAACATTCTTGCAAGGAAAACGAATACAAACAAATTGTTGGAATTTTAATGGTTTATAGAACATGAAAGTATGACTTTCAGATTGCAAGGTTAATTACATAATTCATTTTTTCTCTATGAAAAGAAGACACCTAAAGGATAAGATCTGCTGGCCCTAGGTTCAGATTGAACGGAAATTGGAGATATGATATTTAATTTCACATCCAACTATTCAAAGCTGAATATTTGGAACATAATATATTGGTTCAATATTAGATAAATCGAAAAATATGAATAATAGGTCTAATATTGTATTAAAAAAATAAATCATAGGTCTAATTTAACTGCAAAGACAATTACTATGTTTCACGACTGTTCCTATGAATGATTATGTTCTAGAAATAATGAAAATTTTGATGTTTATAGTTTGTACTGATGTATCTCGATTTTCTTCTCTATCTTGGTGATGTAATCAAGAAAAGAAGTCGCGTAAAAAACATGAAAAATATTTTAATAGTACTACAGTATTTAGTGTAAAGAAGGATATAATAATAAATTAAGAAGGTATTTATATTTAATTAGAGAATAAAGTAGAGTTGATGTGTGAATGCTAAGCGACAACAAAGAAGCCTATAAAAAGCAATATACTTTCCAAAAAGAGCTTCAAAAAACTGAAAGTTCCTTTATAGTAGCAGCTGGGAAGATTCATAACTGAAGCTGCATATACTGCTCTATATAACACTCTTATTACTACTATTACTATCTTATTTCAGCAACAGAGCCTATTGTGAGCCAGAGAAAAACGAGAAGAAAACAGAAATTATCTATGTCTGACTTGGAGTTTCTTCTTTTTCTTGTTCCCCCAATCTTGGCTGTACTTATTATTCTTAATCTATTCAAAAGAAAACAGAAATTCCAAAATCTCCCACCAGGAAACATGGGTTGGCCTTTTCTTGGTGAAACCATTGGCTATTTGAAACCTTATTCAGCTACTACTATTGGAGATTTCATGCAACATCACATCTCAAGGTAATTAATTAAACTCTTAGCCCAACTTCATTTGGAAAAAATAAAATCTTGAAAATCTGTATGTTCTGAACACTTAAAAAAAAAAAAAACTTGCAGGTATGGGAAAATTTACAAGTCAAATTTGTTTGGGGAACCGACAATAGTCTCAGCAGATGCAGGGCTGAACAGATACATTTTGCAAAATGAAGGCAGATTGTTTGAGTGTAGTTACCCAAGAAGTATAGGTGGAATTCTTGGAAAATGGTCTATGTTGGTTCAAGTTGGACAAATGCATAGAGATATGAGGATGATTTCTCTGAATTTTTTAAGCAATGCTAGGCTCAGGAATCAACTTTTAAGGGAAGTTGAAAAGCATACTCTGCTTGTTCTTGGTTCTTGGAAAGAGGATTCTGTAGTTTGTGCTCAAGATGAAGCAAAAAAGGTAAGTACTTAAATAAGTTTTTTGTTTTTCAAAATGTTAATCAAATTTTCTATATGCTCTTTCTAACTTTAGTGATTGTTCTTGTTTTGTGTGTTGAATTTCTACAGTTTACATTCAACTTTATGGCAGAACATATCATGAGTTTAGAACCTGGAAAGTCAGAGACAGAGCAGCTGAAAAAAGAGTACATTACATTTATGAAAGGAGTAGTTTCTGCTCCATTGAATTTTCCAGGAACAGCTTACAGAAGGGCTTTACAGGTATTATATATATTGATATCACCATATCATTTAAGTAAAAGCAGAAATTAGATTGTTTAGTTTCAAGACTTGAATTTTAAGTTTAATTTTCTATTTTCTGTTACAGTCTCGATCGACAATTCTTAATTTTATCGAGAGAAAAATGGAGGAAAGGCTTAAAGAAATGATAGGAGACGAAAAAAGTGACCTACTTGGTTGGGTTCTGAAAAATTCCAATCTTTCAAAGGAACAAATTCTTGATTTGCTACTAAGTTTGCTCTTTGCTGGCCATGAAACTTCATCTGTAGCTATAGCTCTTGCAATTTACTTCTTGGAAAGTTGTCCTGCTGCTGTTCAACAGTTAACAGTAAGCTCAAAGATTTAATCAGCTTTTAATTAGTTAATGGATATGATTTTCTTGAAGTCCAACCTCTAATTTATTGTGCTGATAACATATTCAGGAAGAACACTTAGAGATTTCCAGAGCCAAAAAGGAGTCAGGAGTCACAGAATTGACTTGGGATGACTATAAGAAAATGGAATTCACACAATGTGTAAGCTTCTAGTCTTTAAAGCTAATGTCAAATAAATAATAGCTTATTGTCATGTATTTCCTGTGTTCACTTTTACTTATCAAGAGAGTCAATTTGTTTAATCTTTGAAACTAAAATTGAGATATTCGAATACTATACGAAAAATACTATAATTTTTATTTTTTCTCATATTAATATGGTGAAAAAATACATGTTAAAACGTTATTCAAAGTTTATCTAGTTTGACTCTCGAAAAGCTAAACATGACAAGCAAAAGTGAATGTATGGAGTATATCACTAACTTCCCACCATGTGTGAGGTGTGAAGACCTAACACTATCAGCTCACTTAAAAAATAATTGTTCGTAAGAAAAGTGTGATTAATAACCTGGAAAATGAGTATATGTTAAAATACATTATTCTTTACTGACAATATATATAAGTAAAATACTTTCATATTGATTCACTTTCCTTTTTTTTTTTTGTTATAAAACTTTGTAGGTTATTAGTGAGACTCTAAGGCTTGGGAATGTAGTAAGGTTTCTTCACAGGAAGGCTGTGAAAGATGTTCGATATAAAGGTAAGTTACAGTTCAAAGTGTGATAGTAAAATTTATACATGAGCTAGAATGCCTGTCTGCAGCTTTAGAATCTGACTTGGTTTGGCTTTTAACAATCTTTTGTTTATGCATGCGGTGGTTTTTCAACTTGAAAACAAAAAAGGTTATGACATTCCATGTGGATGGAAAGTACTACCAGTGATTTCAGCAGTGCATTTAGATCCTTCACTTTTTGGCCGACCTCAGCACTTCGATCCGTGGAGATGGCAGGTTTGTCAATTTTGCATTAAAACCCTCTAACGTGCTTTTATTTTTTTTACCTTTTTTTTTCTCTTTCAATCCTCTACTACTACATAAAGCACTTAGACGGATTTAAATTTATTGTAGGTAGCTTCATAGAGAGTGCAAATTCTTTTATACATTTAGTTTTAATTGTTTTTTTTATGCGTACACTGCTACCTTTATTAGTGCTGTGCTTGAGGTTGCACATGCATGAGAATCGTTAGATCAAGTGACAAGAAGCTAAAAGAAACTACACCTCTATTTTTAAACAACCATTTTGTACTCATATTTAGGTGCACTTAATGTAAGTACAGGGGTACGAAGTAAGCTCATTTTTAAGTAAATAGACATTTGATCTAACTTGAACTCAATAGTAGCTCGTGGGGTGAAAATTATTCAAGATCCTCGACATAACATCTTTAAGCTCGGTGAAAAAACTATGGCTGATATAATTGTATCCAAAAGAAGAAAACAATTAAATGGATAAGGCAATGCATTAAGACAAGGTTGGGGGTGGAAGATGAAGGTGGGGGAGGAGTCCAACAGAACATTCCATCGAGGCCATTTGTTGGGGTCGCATGATAAAGAGTCTATAAAATATCAAAAAAGCAAAAAGCATGGTGGGATTTAGCTATCCTTGTAATCATAATAATCCACAGAAAGGGACCCAAACCAAAAATGAACTGCCATGATCAAATTCTTGCACAGATGTTGCATACTGTACGGAGAAGTACCCCACCTAAAAGCTGTGAATTGAGTACTCCATATGAAATTTTTTATGCAAGACCTCTTTTTTGTATCACAACTGTGTGGTTCCTGAATTTTGTAGACCCAAATGTGTAAGATATGTGTTCACAAATATATGAGATAAACAGAAACCTCACACAACTAGTGTGACACAATGTCAGTTGTGTGAGACACAAAATAAAATCACTCACTCCGTATGAATGTGTGAGACTACTTTACCGTGAAGGGATGTGATAAATTAGTCAGACATTAAATTTAAGAAACCAAATAATTAGACAAAAAAAAAGAGTGTTAGGATTGTGACCCAACACTTTCTCCACACCCACCCACACATTCAAAAACTCAAATAGGAAATTAATTTTTTGTGCATCCATAGACCATACCCCAACCCAAAACCAGCTCAAAGTCCCAGAAGGGTGGCAATGCGTGTGGGCGTGGGAGAGGCCCCAATTGAGGTTATTACAAACTTAAAAGCCTTCGGCCAACCCCAACCCGCATGTGGCTGTGGGGTTTTCATGTGCACGTGCACCTGTGCTTTTCATGTTGGCTCACCTCCATGCTGCTCCATTCATTTCCCATTTTATCTTCTTTTTTGGGGGCCGAGACAGGGGCAGATATAGGCGGAGCAAGAATTTAAAATTTATGTACTCAATATTCTAATTCTTTTGAGTGATTGGGTTCTAAATTAACAGTTTGTAAATAATTCAATAATTTTTTAAGATAAATACATTATTTGGACAAAAGTTAATGGGTTCAGCCGAACTCGTATCCAAAGAGCTAGCTCCACCCCTGGGACAGAATTACATATAACGAAGAAGTTTATTTATATTTTTTTTGTCAGAAAATGATATTATGTAAATATTATATACTCCGTATAGTATAATATGAATTTTCACTTTTTTAAGTTTTTCCTAACTCCGCCTGTGGTAGCATAGTGTAGCAATTGAGGTACCAAATAATGATTTTCTTTAGACAAAAACATCATAATATATATTCAAGAATGCATAGAGGAGGCAGGATAATAATTCCTTAAAGACATCATGTGCATTGAATGCTTGGTGCAGCAGTACTAGTTCCTCAGGATCTCAATGTACTACAGAATCAAAAGCAGATATTCATGCAATTGCATGTCCACTCCAATCTTCTTCTGTAATCTGACTTGTCTGGATAATAATGACTATAACAGCTGAGAGGACGAAAGGACACTCATTGATGTTGTTGATATCTATTGCTAAAGAGTCCAATAGTTAGCATAAAAATACTCATATTTACAGTCAGTAATTAAATAAATAATCAAGTGCATAAATTTATAATCCAAAAAAAGAAAAGAGTGAAAATTTTGCTAGAATTAGTTAAAGTGGTCTGAGAATGTATTATAGAACTTTTGATATGTAAGTATTGGGTAAACTTATATAAAGTCCTCAAGGTCCAGTCCTAAATTAATATTCCTGTTCACTTATATAAAAGAAAGAGAAATTATGTGTGGCAAAAAAAAAGTTTGATGAGTTGTTGGGTGAGTGGTGTGTTTAATTATATTGTTAATGCAGAATGAACAAGGGTCGCCTTCAGCAAAGGGAGGAAGCACAGGCACGAGCAGCACAACGAAAAGTAGTAATAATTTCATGCCATTTGGGGGAGGACCACGGTTGTGTACAGGATCTGAATTGGCCAAACTTGAGATGGCCATTTTCATCCACTATCTTGTCCTCAATTTCCACTGGAAATTAGCTGCTTCTGATCAGCCTTTTGCCTTCCCTTACGTCGATTTCCCCAATGGCCTCCCTATCAGAATCCAAACAAATTATCACTCTTCATTATTGTAGGGTAACATATATACAAGTACTCTATAACAAAGGGAAAAAAAAATAGCTGAACAAAAGAGACGTTAGGCTTCACCTCAGCCTCTACTACATTCTATTCAGAACTAGAAGCACAAGGAAAGAATATTGCCTTTGGTTCATGTATTACAAAAGAGAAGAGAGGATGGTACTTGAACTGGTCAAATTAATTAAAGCGCAGTTTGTAAATCTAGCTATTTATCTAGGGAAGTGAAGCTGCTATAGTTTTTTGTTCTCTTTTTTATGTTTTATTTCTTTTTCTTGTCTCCTTTTTTTTCTTCTTTTTCTTACTGTGTTAGTACATAATTTTCTGTGTAATTAAATACAACAAAACATTCTATTCTCCATTTTACCTTTTTTCTGTTTTGGACTTTGCTGCGATCTTTCTTTTTTTATGTTGCTGCGAATTTCTTTATTAAAATTATGCTCATAGTTAGTGGATGAAGTTTATTAATAGGCCAAACCCATACGCAACCCCTTTAGTTGGCCCCGTTTTTTATTTTGGCACCTCAATTCGGACCTTTTCCGTTTTGACACTCCAACCCCTTATCTCATGTGCCATTTAAACACAAAACACTAACCTGTGCTTATGACACAGGCGCATGTTCATAACCGCTGCCAACGTATAAAGCTAACGAATTATTTACTGCCACTTGAATTTATTATCCACGTAATTCCCTCCCAGTAAATCTCAACCCGTGCCCGTGCCCGCTAAAAAACCCACACCCGATAAAAAAAACCCACACCCAATTTCAGTTAATAAACCTTTTCATTTTTTACCTAATTCTCAAAATTCACCGATCTTCTCTCACCCCGTTAACCAAAATCACAAGCCCTAGGAGATGAAACCATGGGTTCGCAGTGTTGGTCCTTTTGTTTGAAGGCTGGATAATCGAAATTTCAATGTTGGTCCTTTCGAAATTTCATCACGTTCTTACAGTGTATCGATTCTTACATTGTTGGTCCTTCACTTTCGTGCTTTAAAATATTGGTAAGTGTTGATTTACCTACTTTAATATTGCTTTTGTAGTTTATTTTGGGTGTTGTTGTTACAATGATGTTTTTGAAATTTTCATATGGAAATTTAGGGTTTTCATTTGCTGTTTTCGAATCTTCTGACTTTTGTCTTTCTTTTCATTGTAGGTAAAATCGAAGACATGTCAGAATATGTTCTTTTTCGTTTTCACCACGGTGGAGTTTTTATCGAAGCTCCTATCGCCAAATACGTTAGTGAAAGTGAGGTAAATGAGTTTCCTATAGATAAGGACCACTTATCCTTGTTTGAGCTTGAGTATTATACGAGAAGTATGGGGTATGTTTCTGTTAGGGGCTTTTATGTATTTAACTCTAGGTCAGAAAAGTTTGTACTAATTGAAAATGATGAAAAATTGTATAATATTGGTTGTCAATGTAAAGAGGGGGTATTAGACTTATTTGTTTGTCAACTTATTGATGACCCTCTTGTGGAGGTGGTCCCAATTGCTCTTATCTGTGGGCCACAAGTGGTTGAAAATGAGTCTAGGGCAACTTTAGATGGTGATTGAGCTGGTATAAATGCAGAACACTATGCTGAACATTCTGTGGAGGCTGTAGTAAATACAACTACAGAAAACACTCAAGCTGAAAATCTAGGGAGTTCTGGCTGGATTAGAACTGATAGTGACACTACACCAGGGAAGCACTTATTTGTCTACTTTTATGTATGTTTTGATGCTCTTAAAAGGGGATGGTTAGAAGGGTGCAGGAGGATCATTGGTTTTGATGGATGCTTCTTGAAGGGGTTATGTAAAGGTGAATTGTTGGTAGTTGTTGGAAAAAATGGGAACAATCAAATGTTTCCAATAGCATGGGCAGTTGTGGACCAAGAGACAAAACATTCCTGGACTTGGTTCATACAATATCTAGCTGTTGACTTGGAGCTAGGAGATGAAACAAACTTAATAGTAATGTTAGATAGTCAAAAGGTACATTCTGTTGATTACTTTATTTGTTCATCATAATTATGTTTACTTATTTTGTATTTATATATGATACTGGAACAATATCTTGTATTTTTTGTTGCAGGGATTAGTCCCAGCAATTGAGGACTGTCTGCCCATGGCAGAGCACAGAATGTGTGCCAGGCATATATGGTCCAACTGGGCTAAAAAATGGAAAGGTGAAGAAAGAAGGATGCAATTCTGGAGATGTTCCAAATCATCATTTGTTGTCCAGTTTAAAGATGAGCTTGCAAGGTTGTCAATGCTAGGGAGAAACATATGTGAGGATGCACTAGATTACAACAAAGAGGTATGGGTAAGGGCTTATTTTAGTGATATGTCTAAGTGTGATGTTGTTGAAAATAATATGTATGAAACATTTAATTCCTGGATAGTAGGACCTAGGCATAAGTCAATTATATCTATATTAGAAGAAATAGGGTGCAAAATCATGACTAGGCATGTTGATATGAGGAGATTTGCTGTTGCTGCTATTGGAGGAAGGGGTACTAGCAATATAAGCTCAAACATACAACAAGCACATGAAACTCAACAGGCAGCAGGGTATAAAAGGCCTAGACAGTCAGGTTTTGGCATTTATCAAGACACAATGACTGAAAGAAGTATATTGAATGTAAGCTGGTGCACCTTCTGAAAGAGGCCTATACCTCTGTTTCTTTCTTTTATATATCAATTGCTAATTTTATTATTTTGCAGCATGGTGCATGATCACGCCCAACTATGCCTTGTAAAAAGGACTAAGAGGACGTTGCAAATATAATCTGAGTATTTAGCCCAGAGTCGAACCCACAAGGAATCAACCTATCAATTACTCTCGTTAGACTTACGAAGTTCTACGTAATCAACTTCCCAAACGTTTTGAATAACAAGTGAGGATGTTTCTACTAACTAAGACTAACTGCAATTAAGCAAATAAAGACTAACTATGATTAAGTTGTAAACAATTAAGAGAAGGATCTAAGGTTATGATTTCCCCTATTGATGGAATTCCTCCCGGTTATGTTTTACCTGGATTCGCCTAATTGTCTCTATCAATCATGATCACTCTTATTACCGTAAATCTCTCTCGAGTAATCACGACAATTCACTAGACGCGCTCTCCCGAGTTACGCTGGCTGGCTTTGTTTATTACAGCTCACTTTAGATTGCACCCAAGGCTTCGTTATCCCTAATACCACCTTTAAACCCTCGATTATTGATCCCTCATATACTTTAGGAGTGGTGTTGTTCAACAATTACCTAAATGTGCACTCTCTCCCGAGTTATGCACACTAAATAGGCACAGCTAATTGAGGATCCTATCAATTAACTACAACAAGAACGCAGTTGAACAAATAAAGATTAAACTGGGCAAACTATATTAACATAACAAGAAGTTCATCCTTCAATAGATTCCATCAAAACCCTAGATTAAGGAATTAGCTACTCATAACCAAACAAGATAAAACTACTAAATTGTTCATAATGTGCAATTGAAATAATAAAGAGAAGATAGAAAAACCCTAATGGTTGGTGTCTCTTCTCACACTTGTTCTTGCCTCCAAATTGTCTAAAAACAAGCTTTTAAACTTTCTTGGGCGAGCTTCTTGAGTTTATAAGGGTTTGGAATAAGTTTTCCCTGATTTACACTTTGGTCCCAAAAGTTCTGGGTAGCTGCACAGTTCACCGCGGCCGCGGCAAAACGCGGCGCGACCGCGGTGAGAGCTAATCATTCTGCCTCGCTTCTTTAGCTTACCGCGGTCCAGCCGCGGCCGACCGCGGTCATGGTGGCTCAAGCCCAGTCCTCTTTTTTTGCTTCTTTCCGCTCGGGTGCTTCTTGATTGGCCTTTTTTCCACATTATTGCCTCCAAAATACTCCATAGTTCTTCCTAACTTGGATTAATCCCTGCGAAGCAAAAGAACACCAATTAGAGCATTTTGTTATCATTTAACCTTTCAAACAACAATAAAGCATGGTACATTTAGGGTGTAAATATCGTCTATATAGCCTATTATGAACACCCCACACTTAAATCATTGCTAGTCCTCGAGCAATCCACCACACTCTATCAAAGTTCCTTCCCCAAGCTTTTTCCCTTGACGTATCACACCAAGAACAATTCACCAAGGTTTCACCTAGTAGTGAACAACCTTTGCCTCAAAAGTCGAATCTCACGTGCCGTGCAATATTCATACTTACTCAAACTACTCTATACAGAGGTCAAGACTTACCTTTCCTTCGTAAATCACATGCCCTCACGTCACACAAGAGAGTAGTTCCACAAACAATATTATTAAGAACAATTAGGAACTCAGATAGACAAAATTCGCTCACTCTCAGAAAGAACATTCACATGCCACAAAGATGCACCATAGGCTTGTCCGTAGTGTACTACTCTACTAATCGAGCCTATTCAGTCTAAGATCAATTAGGACTTCACTTGGTTGTAATGTAGGCTAAGGGATGGGTAGGATATATTTGGATATAGTGACTAACCTCCCTAAGCACTTTTAATATACTCACATTAACCTCCAAATCAGATTTATGTCAACCAGACGTTCCACCACATTTTTATTTATAGCATCCCCTTCCTTTAGGTGCATTTGTATCGAGCCATCACTTATCAACTACTACATTTATTCATTCTCTCTTTTTTTTTCTTTTAAGTGGTGCTTCTTCTTTTACTTTTCCAAAAACTGCACCTTTCCTCTATTTCATTGGTTCCACTCAAAAATAAAACCACCACCCCACACTTTAACTTTTGCATATTTCAAGGCCATTCAAGTGCTCATGTGAGGTCAAAGGGGTTCAAACAGATGGCTATTCAAACAATTGGGTAAGGTTCGCAATGTGGTTGCCAAAGAAACAAGCTTATAGGCTCAACGGGGTTAACTACGATGTATTACATTTAGGTGGGTCTACTTTATATATCTGGCTTAACAAAGAAATGCCTATATCACTTCTAAGACTGAATGAAGCTACTATTTCGCTTTGCAAACACACAGGGCAAGTTCTAGGCATCAAGTGTAAAGCATAGAATACAGTACAGCTCACACACACATGGCACATGACTCACTCCAGATTGGTTTATCAAGACACTCTCTTTTGAGTGTTCAAGTCAGTTACAAACATACAAATTTAAGGCACTTTAGCAAGAGTCAACCACTGAGACTAAGCGTTACACTCTAGTGTCTACTATGTTCAGGTGTATTAACGCCAAGGGTTTCTCTTTCTATTTCAGCTCATCAATACTAACTAAAAACTAAAAACAAAATAAACAAAAAAAAATTACCTACACCCGGTTCAAGCTAAACCCTTGGAAAAGAATCGTGGCCCAAAGAAAAACCAAGGGGGAGTTACTACACTACCTAAAATAAAAAATCTTTTTGGTTTTTTTTTCTAGACTTACTTCCCTCAAGAAATTGTCTAAAGGATCCGTCATCAGGAAGAGTCCTTATATTGCCTTTTTTTTCCCGACTAATGTCCCTCAAGAGACCTGTCGAAAGGTGTCCGTCTTCGGGCCAAGTCGAAGTTAACTAACATGACCCTAAAATACCAAACAATCAAAAAGAAAGCAACATCATACAAAGTTATACAATCTTTTTACAACAACAGCCATCCCCCACCCCACACTTAAAAATTTGGCATGTCCCCATGTCAACAAATATAAAGCAGAGTAAGGTAAGGGGACTTCCCTGAAGCTCAATCCTGATTAGAGACGGTGCTAGGATCGAGGTGACATGCTCGTCCTAGCGCTCGAAGCCATCCCATAATCTTTTTCTCCGACTTGGCCTGTTGAGTGGTCAGAATGTCAACTCTGGTGCCCAGGTCAGTGACAGAAGTGCGGAGACCAGCCATTTCTTGCTCCAGGGCTATCAGGCGGGTACTTCAACGGGGCTGTGATGTGCCCGCCTCATCAGCTCTCGATGGTGGTGTGACAACAGTGTCCTCAGCAGCCTCATCAGCTTCATCATCATCATCAACTACCACTACCGGCTCTCTCCCCACTGTTATCTTCCTAGCCCGGAATGGGGCTTTCACAGGCAGTTTCCCATCTACTCTGGGATTTTCAGGGACTCGTGCAGTGCGGCAAAGCTTTGTGACCAGAGAGGGGAAGTAAAACCCCTTTAGTGCTTCTGGAGAGCGGATAAACATCTCATCATGAAGGAGCTTGGCGACATCAAAATCCTGGTGGGTCATAAAATAGTAGATAGCTGCTGCTCGTGGCCCATTGACATCGGTAGTGTTGCTGGAGGGTAGCAAACCAGCTGTTGATAATTGTGAGCCAACACTTAGCCTCCCAATTGAGAGACTGGGAGTTCAGTGTGATCCGGTGCTTTATCCATATATACTCTCTGTCTGGCATACATATTGTTTCAAGAATCCGTGCCTACCAGACATTTGGGTGGCCATAAACAAAGTAATGATCTGTATCCCCCATGAAAACTGGCAGCCGGTACACTCGGCGGATGGCCTCAAGTGATGCATCTACACGGGTGCTGCGCACTGTAACTACCCCATTGACATGCTCCGGGCAGTTAGCATAGAATTCCCTAACCATCTGGACATTTGCCATCTCCGGTTCATCAAAGAAGATATCCAGCTCACACCTCCTCAACTCATTGAATATATTTGGGCATTCCGCCTGCAAGGCTGGTCCATCAATATGCACTTCTGGTAACAGTTTCTTGGCCGCCTTGGCAGTATACCGGTCCTCAGATGGCTTGGAGACAAACCTAGCGCGGTCAAATTGGGCCGCACTAGCTTGACCCCTAGCTTTAGAAGAGCTGCTCGGTCCACTAGCGGAGGACCCTGTGGCGCGTCTCTTCCTAGATGGATGCATTGTACCTGCCGAACAAACAGAGGCTCTTATCAGTGGGGGTTTGAGTTGTGCGAACCTTGGGTGGTTACTCACTTCACCACTACCAAGGCCACATTAGCCCTTAGAACACCATTGGGGCAATTCCACAAACACCTTGTGAGCAAGGCACTATCCTAACACATTTAGCCCTCATGGATACATCAATTTATCCCCCAAATCAACAATTTGTACTTCACCATTTCACCCCACAACAATTAGTCTAACACCCACAAGCATACACTTCTCTACAACATGGTGCACACACCACTCTACAACATTGTGCACATAACCCATTAACAAGCAATCAACAAAAACGAAAATCAAAAGAAAAAAAACAAAAATCTACTAGAAATACTACACAATTACAACATGGAACTAACATAAAAACTAAAACAAAAAAATACAATATAAGAGATAGGGGAGTGACATACCTTGATGGAAGAGAGAGTGAGATGAATGGAGATTGAAGAAGAAGAAGAAGAAGAAGAAGAAGAAGAAGAAGAGAGGAGGAAAATGTGAGTTTAGGGTTTAGAGAGAGAGAGAGGAGATGGGGAAAGTGAGGGGGGGCGGGTGTTTTAATTAAATTAAAAGGGGGGAGAAGAAAGAAAAATAAAAAAAATGAAATTTTACTTACCTGGGCGATGGATGTTAGCGAACCTCCGCGGTCGCGGTGAAAGAAAATACCTGAGGCAGAATGTTTTCGTTTGACCGCGGTCGCGGTGGTTCGAGCAAAGTCCAGGCAGACTACTCGTCATTGACCGCGGTCGAGCCGCAGTCGCGGTGCGATATTTTTTTTAGAAGGTTACATAAGAAAACAAAAACAACAAAATTCATGGGTTGCCTCCCACGCAGCGCCTGATTTCACGT